GTCTGAGGTGAGCTCTGAATTGCGGGGGGTGGTGCATTTGGCTGGAGTGCAAAGCACTGGGAAGCTGACCCCATGGGTCTCTCCACTCCACTGCCCGGAGGGTTAGGAGCAGGCTACTCCCTGTGGGTCCCAAAGCCTCTGCTCCGGGCAGCACGCGGGGAGAACGGCCTCTGCTCCCCGGCAGCCGCCTGGGAGACCCTGGGAGCTCTTGGCTCATTTCTTCCCAGGCTGTTCCGAGGAGGCGCAGGGGCGAGAAGGAGGCTGCAGGTTCAGAAGCCTGAGTGACACCTTGGCTCTGCCACTGCCCGACTATGTGACGGCTCCCTTCCTCTTCCTGGGACTCAGGTTCCCCATCCATAAGACAGAGCAGTTTCAGGGACCAGAGGGCATCTGATTCTAGATGGAGTAATTGGTGACTCAAAGGGGCAGAGAGAAGAAGCCAAAGGGGGTGCAGGGTGCTGCCTCCTCTAGGGACACCCAGGGCCTCTCCTGGGGGAGCCTCGCTGGGGAAGGGGATTTTGGTGGCGCCCCTCTCAGCAAACCCCTTTGCTTTCTTGCCCCAGGTCCCTGGGGCCTTAGTGAAGGTCTGGCCCCTCCAGAGAGCAGGTGTGGAGGGGAGGGGAGCTAAGTGGCAGCAGAGCCGAGCTGTGCCAGAGCAGAAACCAGGCCAGCTTCTCTCGGTTCCCAACTATTATCCCAATGAAACTGGGAAAGCACACTCCTGGGACCCTTTGCTCAGCATCAGAGGGCCCAGAGGAGGAAAGAGTGAGTTCATCCCACTGCCCCGCCTCTCTGCAGGGCCGGCTCTGTGTGGCCCATGCTGAGCCCTGGGGCCTCCACAGCCTGGCCCCAGGCACCACATCCGAGGAAAGCAGGAGTGGGTGTCTTCTTAGCCCAGCGTGCCCGGCCTTGGCCCATGGGCTGCTGTCTATGGGGAGGGGCTGCCCGAAGCACCCGTCCTGGTCTAGAGTGGGCTGAGGAGGCCCGTGGGAGAAGTGACATGAGGGCAGACCTGGGTCCCTTCACTCCCGTCTTCTCCAGGACCTGTCTCGCAGCTGGGGACAGGCAAGGCACTTCCTTTCATAGGCTGGGTTACAGTAAGAAACAGGCTACAGTCCTGGAGTGTCCTTAGCAAGTCCTCGGACGCTTCTGCATCCTGGAAGGTAACCTTCCCTGCCCATCCCCTCCTCTCCCACTGAGCCACCCCCTCTCTCTGCGCCCTGACCCACTGCGGTTGTTCCAAAGCCGCAGGGGCAGTGGTGCCACAAGGACGGACAGACTTGGGGGAAGCAGTGCGCAGCAAAGCTTCCCGAAAGCCCCGTGCAGGGCCTGGCCCAGCGACGCCCTTCTGTTGTCACTTGGGGCTGCCCCTGCTGGAGGAGGCCGCAGGTGCTCCGGAAACTCTGGCCCCAGCCCCTTCTCGGGGACCAGCTCTGCCCCAACATCTCATAGACATGTCCCCACATGGCAAGTGCTCTGCGACACACAGAAAACCTTTCTCCCAGCTGTGCCGCGGCCTCCATCAGCTGCTCCATTGTGACTGTCCTTAGGCGCGGTTCCCTCGGTTGGGACTTGGGAGAGGCTCCTGGGCCCGAGGACACAGGTGATAGGGTGGGGGCAGCAGGTGAGATGGGAGAGGTGAGGCCCAAGTCCGTGGTCACAGTTCCTGGGGGTGAGGGGTGACCAGGTGAGTGAAAAAGGGTGGGCAGGGCTGCAGGCTCACAGAGCGGCTAGGGTGGTCTTGGAGCCACGGTCTCAGGATAGGCGAGTGAATCTGGACAAGACCTGAGGGCGGGGAGCAGGAGCCAGCCCCCCTTCACCCTGCTCCAACCTCAGCCAGGTTCCAGAGTCCATGGGAGCCCAGCTCTCTCTTCAGTCCTGCTTCTTGGGCTGCTGCCTTGGGCTTGAGAATAACTCCCTCCGCTCAGTTGTCCCTCTCTGCCCCTCCAATAGTACCTGTCATGTCGGTGCTCTTCCTGCATCTTTTGCACACATTTTCTGTCTAGAGAATTTTCCATATTGCGAGTCCCTCCCAGTCCAGGGAGACACCACAAGTCCCTCCTTCTCTGCTCTTTCCTCTCCCCTGCCTGGATATTGCCTCTTCCATGCAGCCTGCCCTGATCTTCTCCCACCTCTGTGGCTGATCTTCCTTCAGCCACAGCCTGAGTTTCTCTGGCAGCAGGACCTCAGGCTGCTCACTGTGTGCTCTGGGGTCCCCTGGGCAGAGCACTGGTTCCCCTGGGGCTGGGGACATTTCTGAGGTGGGGGCCACATCTACTTCCTTTCTGCCTCCCTCACAGTGACTCTGCAGCCCTACCTGAGTTGCCCCAGGTGTGGCCCCACAGGGCCTCTCTAATGCCAGAGGCGACAAAGAAGGGAGGAGCTGGAGGAGTCCAGAGGGTAGGATCCAGGCTCCAGGGGAAGGCTTCCAGGCCTGGCTCAGATCTCGCCCAGACGGGCAATCCCAATGTCCTGTGGTCAGTGCTGGGATATGGAAAGTACAGGATGAAGCAGGAGCCCCGAGAGGGTGTGACTAAGCCCCTGGGAGTGTGGGTGCAGAACACAGGGAAATGTCCTGGACTGAGCTGAGCCTTCAAGAATGAGGAGCTTTTGCCCTGGCTGGTGTGGCTCAGTGGATTGAGTGCCGGCCTATGAACCCAAGGGTCATGGTTCAATTCCTGGTTGCAGGCCAGGTCCCCAGCTGGGGCATGAGAGAGGCAACTACACATTGATGTTTCTCTTCTTTTCTTTCTCCCACCCTTCCCTTATATCTAAAATAAAAATAAAATCTTGAAAAAAAGAATGGGTAGCTCTCAGTCAGGTGGAGGAGGGTATAGCAGTGGGTGGTGCTCCAGGCAGGGCCTCTGCTGGCCCCTGTGGTAGCTTTGTGCAAATTAGACAAAGGTGGCCCCTCCGGGCGGAGGCAGCCCCATGCCTGTGAGCTTGGAGAGCAGAGCATGGCTGGGATCTGAGCCCCACTGTGGCTGCTTGGTCATTTTTCTGCCTATCACAGTGCCAAGGGGGCTGCCCGTGCCAAAGTTCACAGTGATAACTGCCCCCAAAGATGTCCCTAGAACCTATAGGTGTGACTAAATTAAGGCCCTTCTGCTGGGCGATTCCCTGGGTTACCCAGGTTGGCCCTAAATGCAATCACAAGGCTCTATTGGAGGAGAACAGGGCTGTCAGAGTCGGAGCAGGAAGGTGTGACCTTGGGAGCAAAGGTCAGCGAGAGTGTCTGAAAGATACTATGCTGCTGGCTTTGAAGCAGGAGAGATGGGGTACGGCCACAAGGGCTCAGGCAGCGTTCTGAAGCTGGAGAAGCAAGGGGATGAGTTGTGTCCCAGGGCTTCCAGAGGGAGCACAGCCCTGCTGGCGTTTTGAGTGGTGCCTCTCAGCACCACTTTTGGGCTCTGGACTGCGGACCTGGTGGCGGTGGACCTGTGTGGTTGGAGCCACTCTGTCTGGGGTAGCTCGTTACAATGGCCACAGGAGTGGATATGTGAGCCCTGGTGCTTTCTGGGAGTGGCCGTGGGACATTGCGCCTGGAGCCCAGAGTGAGGTGGGAAGGGGGACAGATGAGGCTAGACAGGTAGGCCGAAGCTACAAAGGGTCTCCTAAGTCATAGGAAATAACTTACCTTAGTCCAAAGGCAGCCCAGGCAGAGCTATGCACTCATGAGTGACATTTCAGAGGGACCCTTGTTGTGGGAGACAGACTGGTGGGAAGTGACTAGGGGTAGCGTCAAGAGGGCCCACTGCAGGTGTGGGGGACAATGACATGACGTGGGCCCAGCTAGTGGCAGCTCAGAGAGCCGTCGGCTGCTTCCACTAATGCCTGGAGACCTAAGACACGGCACAGGGCAAATTCCTCTTGGCCCAGCCTTGTCCTTTCCCTCCCTGCCTCACCCAACTCTGGGTCAAAGGCTCCAAAGGGGCCCTGAGATAAGGAAATGACTTCGGAGAAATAGTAAATGCCAGAGAATGTTCCTGAGGGCAATTGGCATCCTGTGTGTGTGCACATGCACACCCGCACAGGGGCACCCATCAGGCACAGGCACGCACATGCACACCAGGAGGGGTTCTAGCACGCCCATGACCTTTCTCCTTGGCAGCCTTCTTTCTTACCCACCCCGATCACAGGTGTCCCAGGTGTGGCCCCGTGGGGCCTTCTGATGCCAGGTCTCCAAAGGATGATCCTTTGGGGTGGCCAGACCGAGGTGCTGAGGGGTACGTGTCAGAGAGCTGAGCCCTGGGTAGAGAGGCACAAGGGGAGCAGTGAATTCATTTTTCAAGTCACACCTGTGATCACTGCTAGGGTGAAGCTCTGGTCACTTCACTTGAGAGCTCGAGAGGAATCGCATTAATCACACCGGGCAGCACCTATGGAGGGCGCGCCCTGCCCTCCCCACCCAGCCTCTCGGGTGGAGCTGCGGCCACCTGCAGCCTCGGCAGGCCTCGGAGTGCCTGCTGCATCCCAGCCTCTGCGATGGCTGGCTCTTTGCCTGGGCTCCTTTCCCTGTCCTGGGCTGCCTGGCTGACCCATGCTGACCCTCTGGGTGGCGCATCTGGAAGCATCGCTCCCCTCTGCACTCAGTCTGGGTCGCTCACACCCGCTGTGGCATTGCAGGCTCTTCCCCTGGTGGCAATGACCCGAAAAGCCAACCCGAACGGGCAAAAGCCAAAACGCTACATGTTGGCCTATGAGCCTGAGCGACCCAAGGCCAGACTCGCTGCAGGCGATGCTCTACCCAGGACTCTGACGGGCTGGGGGTTCTGCTCTCGTCTCAGGTGGATTCTGTCCTGTGGTCCGGGGGCCGCTGCACGTGATTCTGGGACCAAGTGCCTCCTGATGAACCTTATATTGAAATTATTTATATATATATTTCGTAGTTGTATTACTGCATCGCTAAACTGTGTTTATATTTAAAATATTTTAATTATATTAAAATTTAATATACAGACATGACATTCATATATAATTTGGTATATTAAGTTACATGACTCTCAAAAGATACAGGAGGAAAGAGAAAAGCACTTTCGATCCAGGTGCTGTCTCCTTCATGCTTCTCCCCTGCCCCCGGGGTCTCCTGGTCGCAGCAGAAGGGCACTCTGGCAGGAGGCGAGTCGGAAAGCTCCGTCGATCCTGGTGGCGTGTTACCAGGAACTGAACATTGGCTGAGGGTCACTGAGACGTAAAGGGCATCTACCGGTGGCCCAGTAATTCCACAGGATATGAATTTATACTGCAAATATACGCCACATTCAGAATTGCTTCAGCACAAGGCTACTCATTGGAACACTATTTGTAATAGCGAACAATTAGAAAAAGCCTAAGTAACTATCAGTATGTGATTAGTTAAAGGAATTATAGTTCTTTCATATGATGGAATACTACCATACTTCGCAGCTATTAGCCAAGATTGAGGTATCTCTACAGCGATCTGTTAAATGAAAACAAAAACAAAGAACAAGATGCAAAAGATTGTGTAACCACTGGTGTAAAAGTGGTGTGTGTGTGCGCACACGTGCACGTGTGGACTCACGTATAAAATCCAGAACGCCAGCGAGGCACCAAGTGTGGGCAAGAGCGGGCTCCTCTGGGCAGGCTCAGAGGGCGGCGCTGGCACCTCGGACATTCTATATCGTTCGTATTGGCCTGTTCTAAAATAATAATAACTCACGCTTTTAAGCACTTCAAAAGTAATGAAAACATGGATAAGTGAAGTCTTTAGAATACCACAGTCACTCCTGAATTTTATCTGGGGCGAGCACTTCTCTGAGTTCCCACTGCATCGCACACACACTCTTGGGCTGGCGTCACACACTGTGTGGCCGTTGCCGATGTCTGTGCCTGTCTGTCCAGCTGGACCAGACATGACCAGGGCTGGGACAAGGGTTTTCCCGTTATGTCCTTGTAATGAGCAGAGACGGTGGCACACAGTCGACTTGTTGAGTGAATGCCTGACTGACTGAATTCATAACAAATGTATTACAGGGAAAAATGAAGCCATAGTTTCTGCTCTCTAGAACCTCATGGTCTAGGAGTTGGGACAAGAGTCATGCATGACCCATGTCAGGCCACCTATGGCCATGACCCTAAAATCCTGGAGATCTGGGGGAAAGAGAAGGAGAGATTCCCCAGAGTGGAGAAGTGATTCCAGTGCAGGGGTGGTGTTCAGGCCGGCAAGCGGCAGGAGTCCGGACAGAGCTGGTCAAAGCGCAGCGCCTGCAGCAGAGAGATGGTGTCGGTTGTGGCAGGAAGTGCGGGGAACCTAGGTAAGGCCAAGGGGGCAGAGCTTGGCTCCGTCAGGCCTCTGCCTGGTGAGCCAGGCTGGGAGGTGGCTCAATCCTCCTCTTCTATCACACCACAGGTGTCAATCTCAGAGCCATGCAAGGGCATTGGAATGACACTGGAGCCTCGCCATTCTGCTTCTTGGGGTCAGCACCCAGAGATGGAGCTAGGTAGCCTTCCAGCACCCAACTTGGATCTCTGGCCCTGTGGGACCTGGGTTCTTTGTGTCTCTTGCAAGTTCAGTCCTGGAATCTGATAGCATGTGTGGTCCCCTTTCTGTTCTTGCCCTCACACTGGCCTACCTTCTCAGAATGGTTATCAGTGTGATTATTCTCTTGGTCATTAACTAAGACCTGGCTTAACCCTATCAGGTTTGAGGGCTAGGAGCAAGGTGGCACAAGACTCAGGCATGTCAGCCAGCCTCACCAACAGAGACATTGCTTTTGTTATTTATCACTGAAAAACCAACTCTAAAACTCAATGGCTTTAAAACAACCACTATTTTATCATCTCTTGTGGTTCTATGGGTTGACTGGGCTCAGCTGGCTGGTTCTTCTGCTGGTCCTGCTTGGGGTCTCTCATGAAGATACATTTAGATACAGGCCACAACTGGAGGTTCGGCTACAATAATGGGCCAGTTGGGCCCTTATTCCTCTCCACATGGCCTCTCCACGTGGTCTCTTGAGCAGGACAGCCAGGCATGTTACTTGGTGACTCAGGGATCTCAAAAGTGAACCTTCTGAGAAAGAGAAAGTAGAAGCTACCATTCCTCTTAGAGGCCAAGAAGGTCACTCTTGCCTCTTTCTGTTGAATAGAGTGTGTCGTAGGTCAGCCTAGGTTCAGTGTGGGAGGGGACTACATCATGGCCTGAGTGCCAGGTGGTGTGCTTCACTGAGGGTGACGCACCAGGTTACACATCCCTGTGGCATCTTAGAGGTGGCAGCTCAGACACCAAGAAGAGAAGAGATTCGTGGTCACTGAGAAATTCAGGTCTCCAGGTCCTCTCTGCTGTGCTTGGGAGGTCCTGGGCTGATCTTGGCTCTCCCAGGCACAGAGGAGGCCAGTAAAGGCCGATTTCTGGGCTCAGGGCTTTGGCCCCCATTGTCTTCTGAATGGATGCACCCTGACTGGCCACTTTAACACACAGGGTAAAATGAGCTCTCAGCTTGGCAGCAGCTGTCTGGCCATCGCAGGGGAAATGCCAGTCTCATATACCCACCTGCTTTCTGGGCACTTCCCCTTGGGTCTCCCAGTGGCATCTCAAGCTTAGTGCATCAAGCACCTATCCCCCATCTCTACCCACCTCCATTCTGAGGGAGACCTTACCCAAGGGCTCCAAGACATTAGGTCTTCTAACGGAGATGGCCCAATGGACTCCAAGGTGGTTCTCTGGAAATTGCAGAACAGAAAAATCAGTGTCTGGAAGTGCTCTTGCTCTGTAGTAAAACAAGGGTGCTGACCATGCCTGGATTAGGATTATTTCCTGATAAGCAGACTGAATAAGTTGTGTGGAATTGTTAAAACATGTGAAGCACTCTCACTGAGGGAGGGACTGATGTGTAAGGCAGGGGTGTTTGAGCTCTGTTGGGTACCCATTCTCTAATTCTTCTGAATAACAGAGGCCCCTTTTCCCTTAGGAAACCCATTGCATGTGGGTTCAGTAGGGCCAGAGCAGTAGTATCATGCCTCAGAGAATTCCATATCTGTGACCACGAGGTTCAGAAGTGGGCACGTGACCTCCAATGAGGCTAATTGGAGTCCTCCAAGCCTTTTCTCCTAGAGTTCTTGGGGAAGATGGCTCCTGTGTACTTGAATTGATAAGATCAGCCTGGCTTCCCATGTGGGGAAACCAGTTGGGAAATATGTACAGAGGGGGACAGAGCCTTGCTGACCCAACACTGCCTGAAGCCAGATCAACCCTGACTTTTCACTCCTGTGAGTCAATCATTACATTATCCTTTTTTGTAGCCCAAAGAGCCTGATTAATTCAGTGTCTTTAAAAAACAAAACAGAACAGAACAAAACAAAACCCTTTGCTCTCCATTCTCACCATTCCATGACTTTCACCAAGACCTGGCTCACGTTCTTCTCTTCCAAGAGGCCCGCTTGAATCACCCATCACACACACATAGTTCAGGTTACATTATCTTGTATGGGTTTGTCTCTAATATTAGAAATGTTTTGGGGAGAGAATATTTCTGGAATCCACGTGGTCCTCCCTGGTAGCCCAGGAGCTTCCAGAGGGCAGGAATGCATTGTGCACCCTGTGAGTATCTGCACGCTGGACTCACCGCCTGGGGTGGGTGAGTGTGTGTGGACGTGTGTGCCTGTATCAGGTCATGAGGGCAGGTGTGGGTGTGTGTATGTGACCAGAGCAGAGGGGAGGTGCACATCTATCTGTGTGATGAGGGAGTGTGTGAGCGTGTGAGCAATAAGACAGGTTCTTCAGGCAGCAGGACCAGTTCAGGGACAAGCCCCTGCAGGGCTGGCAGGAGTGTCCCTGCTTCAGCTGGAGGCCCAGGCACATGTGTGGCAGATGGACCTGGCAGTGCCCTCTGCGTCTCAGGGTATGGTCTTGGGCCGGCACTTCCTCCATCCTCAGAGCACAGCTCTGTCCCTTCAGCCTCAGAGACCTGAGCCTTTTCATATCTGTCTCCCCAGCATTCAGCACAGGCCCCAGCATGTGGTAGGAGCTCAGTGGTTAGTGTTAGCAAGGAATAAAGGAAGTGTTGAATGACCTGAGCTGGATGAGGGCCTCCCCTCCTCCAAGCAGGCCAGAAAGGAAGTAGGACTGCCCTTCTCCAGGCAGGTGGGCCAGGGGGTCTGCAGGCTCTGTTTCAGGAACCCCCTCCCTACACTCTCAGTCACCACTGGCTCTTTGTCAGTTCAGGTATTCCCACCTGAAACATCATCCTCTTTCTCCCCTACACCTGCTTACTATTGTATAGGTCTCAACCTGTACATGACTTCCCCAGGAAGCCCGTCCCCCACAAGCTCACACATGCTCTGGGTTGGGGCCCCTTCCAGGGACCCCACAGCCCCTGTCCTGGCATCTCCACAAGTGCTTATCACATTGCATCTCCATTGCGCCTCCAGAGTTGAGCCCGCAAGGCTGGGACTGCATCAGATTCTATTTTGTCTCAGCCCTACTGCCTGGCCTCCATTTGTCCTTTTATTCACCAGCTACTTGTTGAACATCCGCTAACACAGCAGGAGTAGTTGCAGGGGCAGGAGATACAGCAACAAACATGACTGAGTAATTCCTGCTCTCACAGAGTCTCCACCTTAACCGGGATGGGGAGAGACAACAAGCAAGTGAACAAATACATGGACCAGATCACTTTGATGATGATAAGTTCTATAACTAAACCAATCAGGGTGATGCAGAGGGGGAGCCTGGCGGGGTCAGGGAACGCCTCTTCAAGGGGGCGGAATTTGAGCTGGGACAGGCAAAGATCTGGGGGAGAATATTCTGAGCAGGTGGCACTGTGCCCTTCTCTCCAAATGGGACCACAGGATGAAAGTCCGTGTAGAGGAAGACTGGGGAGGGTTGAGGTCAGAGTGGCAGGCAGGACCCTTATTGAGTATGAAATTTAAGGCCATGGCAAGGCACCTTGGTTTTATTCAAATAATGATAGGGAAGCGACATTACCTTATTTGAAATCTTCAAAGGTCATGCTGGCTGCCGTGGCAGAATGGATTGTAGGGAACATGAGGAGGATTGGAGTCTCTAGCAGTCGTGTGGGTGAGATGGGCGCAGCCACGAAGATGGAGAGTCAATTGGCTCGGGTGTGTTGAGCTGAGTGTACAGGACTGGGCGATGGAGCTCCTGGGGCTAGAAAGAGAAGGCGGATGACTTCTCATCTTGGGAAACGGAGTGCGTGCTGGCGCCAGCTATCAAGATGGGAAGACCAGACTGGGGTGGGGACAGAAATCAAAAGTTGTGCTTTGCCTATGTTGATTTGGAAATGCCTGGTAGATGCCCAGATGGAGATGACAAGTAGATATGAGCCTGTAGCCCAGTGGAGAGGCATCAGCACATGTTTGATTTGAAAGCCTGATGACATCATCTAGGTAGACAATGTCTACACAACAACAGAAAGTCTGTGACCAGGTCCTGACACATGACCACATGTAGAGCTTGACTGAAACCAAGAGAGGAGCTTGAGATGGGTTGGGATGGTGGGGGAGAGAGAGAGAGACAAGGGGGGGGTTCACTGAAGTTGAGAGGACATTCAACGAGGGACTCAGCCAACCATTCGAGCGCTGCTGGAAGACCCAACAAGTAGGCTGTGAAGTGACCACTGTCTTTGGCAATGTGCAGGTTGCTGGAGGCCTGGACAGGAACAGTTTTAGTGGAGCGGTGGTGATGGAAGTCCCATTGGGGTGCATGTTCAGGGACCGGCAGTGAGGAGGGATACAGCATGTGCAGCGTGTGGGAGCTTCTTAAAGAGACAGCTCTGTGATGGAGAGCAAGCATTTGGGGCATAGCTGCTGGAGGTTTAGGGGCATCAGGAGGGACGTGTTTTGTTTTTGTTTTGATTTTTGTATTTAAAGAGACAGGAACTCCTACAGCTTTTATGTATGCTAATGGGAAAGATCCCACAGAGAGGGAAAATGATAATAAAGAAGGGAAGATAATAAAATAATTTCTTTTTTTAAAATCATCACCCAAAGCTTACTGATTTTAGAGAGAAAGGAATGGAGGGAGAAAGGAGCATCTATGTGAGAGAGAAACACCACTTGGTTGCCTCTTATACGTGCCCTGATTTGGGATTGAACCTGCAACCTCGGTCTGTGCCCGGACTGGGCATCAAACTGGTAGCATTTCAGTTTTGGGACAATGTTTCAACCAACTGTGCCATACCAGCCAGGGAAATACAATAATTCCTTGAGTAAAGATATTGAGAAGGTAAGAGGGATGAGATCCAGAGCTCAAGGCAGAGCTGGCTTTAGACAGGAACTGGGGAGGTGGGTAGGGAGAGGAGCACAGGTGCAAATAGACTTAACAGTCTTGTTGGTGGGAAAAGAAAGGGCTTCCTTCCAATATTTTCTGTTTTCTCAAGGTAATATGAGACAAAATGATTAGCTGAGGGACAAGAGGCATTAGAGGACAGAGAAGACAGTAGAGAAAAAAATGCCAGGGGTGTGAAGCAAGGAGCACCATTTGGGGTGCCCGTTCAAGAACTCTGTCAGTCGGCCTAGTAGTGTTTCTCTCCAGCCAAACCCAGCCACAGGGGCACAGGCACAGTGGACACAGTTCAGATGCATGGTCATTGGTCACCCCAAGGCTTGGGTCTGACCAAGGGAATGAAGTGTTCCAAGTGTCCCAGCTGACCTTGGCCTCTCCGACAGAGAAGCCTGTCCCACTACTGAAGTGCCTGGCGTGTTCAGGAAGCTTCAGCCCATTCAGTGGCGGGGAAGTACCCTCAGGGCGGATGTGGGACAGAGGGCTGACATCATTGTCTGGGATGCTCGTTCTTGCTCACCCAGCCCTGCTCACACCACCCCGTTCGCATGACATAGAGCGCCGATTCCCCTGTGGTGACCCTGGGGACACAGAGATAACAGAGCTGGGGCTGGGTCCTGCTCTGGCCAATAGGCGGCCCCGGGACCCAGCCCAGCCACAAGGCGCTTCCCAGCATTTTATTGGGGTGTGCTGGTCTGTCTCCCTGCTTCATCGTCAGGTACCTACTTGCCTCCAGAGAAAGGGCTCCTTCAGCCCTTGCATTAGTCATCCACCCCTGCATAAACAACTGGTTCTCACCCCTCCCTGGGCCAGAACCTAGCACAGGGGCTGGCACAGGAAGGTGCTTCATAAATTCTCATTGAATTAATGAGATGAGAAACATCCATTAATGGATGGACACATCGAAACATCCATCCATGCAAGCGAAGAAAACCCTTGCCCTCCACCTGGCCAGACTAGGCAGCCCCTCCCTCGCCTCTTTCTGGCAGTGCAGATGGGTGATCGGGACCAACCTGTGCAGAGCCAGAAGGTCTCCAGGTTCAAAGAAGGTTCTCCTGGGAGGGGAGGGCAGAGGGTTCTTAGAGGCTAAGGGAAGAAAGCAGGCCTTTCCCTTCCTTGGGTCTAGTACAAAAGGGCCTGGTGTCAATTCAGTTCTGCACACCATGGTGGGTACCAACTGGACTGCTGTTTCTCGTGACCTCCTGGTCGTGACCCCTTGGTGGCATGAGTAGCCCCTCCCCCCAAGCAGTGAGGCTCCTGACTAAAGGCCAGGGTGCTCTGCGCAGAGCCAGGACTAGGAGGTCAGCCAGTTCGGGGTTGTGCCAAGAAGGTCTGGTTTTTTCCAGCAGGGCTGCAGTTCTGGTTCGGGCTGAAGGGAGCGCCGAGGAACACCTGCTGCTGGGCGGTCAGGCCTGAGGACAGAGAGGCCAGCACGGCCATCATCCGGTCTCCCTGAGCCTCCCGAATGCCCTGGTCAGTCGGATGAGGCATGGAATCCCCACTTGAATTTCTAGAAGTCTGGGAGGCCAACCTTGGGGAACAAACACTAGGGGATTCTCTCTCCGACCAGGAGCTGGGAATAAGAACAGGCCGAGGGTGCTGAGGGCCCAGAAGTGGTGTATCTGGATGAGGGGTGCCCGCACCCGGCTCCGGGCTCCTGCTGAGGGGCTGACAAAACTCTGCTGGGCCCTGAGTGGCAGGGATGCTCAAGAGGGCCACGGCCTGGCTGGGGCTGGCCCGGAGGGAGCCGCACTCTAGGAGACGGTGAGGGTGATCCCACCCCACTGTGGGGGCGGGAAGAGGCGCGTCCAGCTGGACAGGCCCCTCGGGGTGGGGCCGCTCTGTTCAGCCCTCTCACCGCCAGTGTGGGAAAGGAGACCTGACGCCTCTTGCTCACGGCAGCTCTGCCGGCTCTGAGGTGTGTACCGTGATGGCTGCCAGACCCCAAGGACGGTGGTGGACATTGAGCATACTCACATCTGTTGAAGGAATACACGAATTCAGGTCCCCAGGCAGCTCAAGTCTTCCCTTGCTGTCCCTCCTAACCTTGCCCATCCTACCAGGGGTCTCAGTCAAGGACTTGACATTGAGTTCAAGGTGTGGGTGTGGGGCAGACTCACGGGAGGCTCCCTGGATGGGAAGAGACT